ACGCCAGGCCGCGGCTCGGGTGCGGCCTGCAGGGGGCTCTGGGCCGGGCTCTGCCGCGGCTCGCCGGGACCTTCCGGGGCGCCCACCTGTTCCTCGGCCCCTGCGGCCCCCGCCAGGCGGGGTCCTGGGGTACCCCGGGCTCCGGGGACGCCGGGAGGACTTCGACGGGGACTTCGGGGCTCTGGAGCTGCTCCAGCACCGAGCAGCCTCCGTCTTCGGTGTTATCCCTTACTGCAGCGCGCTAATGAGCTTATCGGCTCCTCCTGGGATGTAGTGTAAGCACAGAACTCGGCGTGTATTTTACCTGTAAGTGGCCTGAACGTTTAAGTGGCGCTTGTCCAACATATCATTTACTCCTTTTAAGGGTTTTTTTGGCACGTTAAAGCAGCCCTTAAAACAGTCCTCCGCTTAGGGGTTTATGGCAGTGAGCTGACTGCAGAGCCTGCAATCTGTCAGATTTTGGAATCTTAGGTCAACAGTCTCCCCAACAGGACGCAAAGGTGGGTTTGTCTTGGCCATCTGCAGTTTGTGGGGGCAGCTACGGGCTCATCAGGCTGAACTGAACGCATGTATGTTATTCCAGAAGGCTGGCTATGTGGAATGGTACTTTGGTTCTATTAAAGTCATGCCTACTTCTGTCTGAACAAGTGGGTTTTTATAATAGATTGAAGTCTTAAAGTAGCTAATAAAGTTGTTGTCATTTGGAAACCACCTGAAGTGGCCTGCACGTGACATGAAAACTGAAGAAAAATCACCCTGACCTTGTAGCTGCTTTAGTAATCTCCTGTGATGTGCATTGGTCATGAGCTGCAATATTACATGTTCGAGTAACAGTAATGAATTATAATGGTAATTGTGGGGTTTTAAATGTCAAAGTTGTTTGAGTTTGCAGTACTTTAACGTGAATCTTGCTGAAATGTCAGTTAGTACACTTCATGAATTTTGTTTGCTCTTGAGTCCTCTTTTTTGTGGCTGTAAATTTTTCACTTTATGTTAGACCAAGTGCCAACCTTAATTTAATAAATTTCTAACAGATCTATAGTTTCTTTTCACTTCAAAACTGTCAGCAGCAATGATTACGCTAATTCTGGTGTTACTTTCTAAAACACTGTTGCTGTGCGGAAATAAGCTGCCAGGAAATATTATTTTGTGATGGATACTTTTCTCCATATGTTAATGTTACATTATGCTGCAAATGTGCTGGCAGTTTGGTTCTGATGAGGGGGGACCAGAAATAACCAGGCAGCTGTCTGCAAGGGGGAGTTAGAGCATCAGCCAGGAGCTCTGCTGGGCTTCCAGCAGGTCAGTAGCCCCATAAGTTTAGGAGTGATGTATGTTAAATTATAATTCGACATACTTGATACTTATCCAGGGCAATAATTGGTGGCAGAAAAATCAGCCCATTGTTTAGAAATGCCTGTAGGCAGGGGGCTGTCTTCCATTTTAACCTTTTCTTCGAAGGAGAGCAGAGGTGGTGTAGTTGACATTCATTGTGCAGGCTTAGATCTCAGACTCTTTTCTCCAAAGCACGTAGGATACGTGGTAATCAGTAAAACTACCTGTCATGCCACTTCCAGGCAGGGAAAGAACATCTTAAATTTTTGAACATGATTAAAAGCAGATTCTGAATTTAATCACGCTTGGGCACCAGAGTAAAAGTATAAGAAAGTGTTCTGATGTTTTCCCACAGGAGGAAGTCACTGCAGCTACGAGCTGCTGCACTTGCGGGTACTCACGGAAAACTCTGGCTACTTTCTTCTGGCTTTTAGAATCTTCTCCTTAAAGAAGTGGTTGCATTCAAACTTACGGTATTCATTATTGTGATTGACTTCCTTATTTACTGAGAAAGTCAAGCTTTGAGGCCTGGATTTCATTCAGGCTTTTCAATGTAATTGTTGATGTGTGTACGTGCGTGTTTCTGGAGAGGGGAGAGGGTGAAAACTGCAGGAATATTGCCAGGTGTGCAAAAAACAGCCCAGTTTTGTGAGGTTGAAGAGGAGAATATGGTTCTTCATAGTGCTTTACTGTAGGGCGCTGTAAATTTAAGCTTGACTGATATGTTCTCTAATAGAAGCTGTTTCTCCATTGTGGATATTCATTGCAGTGTAGCTGTGAAGGCCTTTGTGGTCTATACAGATCTTGGTTAACTCTGAGGTCCCACCTTAAGTTAAAAAAAAATTAGAGATAAGTTTCCCTACCTGTGTTGAGTTGAACTGGTCAAAATAACCTTTTCCCCAAGCTTTCAGAACCTGCTTGCTTTGAGAAATCATCTTCTGTGCTGATTGTTCATCTTGGTTCAAACTGCTACCTAAAGCTGTGCTGACTCAGGAGCAGTGTTTTAATGGTACACATGCATTTAGCACTTGAGACCTCTTCTAGTAATTGCTGCAGAATATATTTATAACTTAGTTTCACACACTTGGTTCAGAATTTACATGGGTAACCTCTATTTCAAAGGAGACCTATAAGAAATAGGCTATTTAAAAAAAATTACATCATCTTGGAAGCCACCCGGGATGTCTGGTGTTATGTATTCAGTTATTCAGCCTATTCCCCTGAAAAAAAACATATGGGCAAACTACTTATGTTACATGACTTAAACACTAAGTATCAACATCAATTTCCTTCCAAAGCTTGGGCGTTAGCAGAGTGTACCAAGCCTCACATTGGAGGAAAGGGTGAGTTTAGTGGTATCGACCACAGAGATGGGGGATAGGATTTTCGTGCTGGAAAATCCTTCTCCTGGAAGAACTGTGTAGAAGCAGTAGCTGAAGAAGAGTCTCCAAAACCTTGTTCTGGGAGTTGCATGAGATCTTACAGGGGAGATACTTGGTTCTGGTAGAAGCAACGCTTTTCCCGTTGGGCTCAGTGTGCTGAGAAACCACCTCTTCCACCAAGCAGAACACCTTTGCCTTGTTAAATCGTGCTCTGTGCTCTTCAGGGAATTTATTACCTGATGTCAGGAATAATGAGATCTGTTAGTTTTTGCTCTGTGGGGAAGCCTGTCATTTCCAACTGGCTGTTAGAGCTGTGCTTGCAATTAAATGGTTCCTCATCATGAATATGTAGCGATCTTTTCCTGATTTTAAATATTAGACAATAATTTAATTATTTGCCATTAATACCTTTCTGCGATGCAAATGCAGTTTTGGTTTGAGTAACAACCCATTATATGCTCGTTGTGTGGCTGGAGCTGATTGTAAATCAGGCTACTGTTCACTCGGTATCTCAGCCGGCCTTGCTGCTCAGACCTTCAGGAGAGGTCCATGATCTGAATTATTAATAATAAATCGGTCTGTGTGTTGTACTCTGTTAAGTAGTGCATTGGCCTGGGGTGATCTTCCAGTTAACACGAGTTGCATAGTTAAAGATGCTTCTACGGCTGTTTTCTGTATTGATTCCTTTAC